TAAATACAGGACCTCCTACTGAAGGTCTTTGTTGTCTAGTATTCTGGATTTGATTCATTGGATAATGACAAAGAATTTTCTGTAATCTTAAAATCTACTTCAAAAGCAAGAGGTGTACATACATACACATACAAACACACACTTAGTCAAGCTGTCCATCTATAACTTTTTTATCCTTTCATCCACTTTTTCTTGTGAATTTACTTGCCTTTTCTCTTTTGATCAGGCCTAAATAATGAACCACTGTAGCATGTGCAGCAGTTTGTTAATATTTTCAGATTAATATCTTATTCTGATTTCTTCATTTCTACTTGTCTTATCAAATACATATTCAACTAATTTCGAACAAACTGCTAACACCATAACCTTGCAAAATTTAGAATCAACTTCATTTTCTGGAATCATGTAACACAGTTACTAGGTAAGAAGAAAAAGAGTCAGGAAGATGATTTTTCCCCAAGTAGACTTACTACAAGTTATAAAACCTGCAAGTACCTTTGGAAGAGGTAAATGTGTACACTTTTGTGGGGAAATGGTAGAATCCAGTATTGCTATTTGGGGCATTCCGTAGATGCTGGAAATCGTTGAGAGGTAGGTAGTAAAAAGACACAGCCTTTTTTTTTTCCTTTTGTTCTAGTCCTTCCTTCCTTCGCTGATTGCCAACAGGATTGGGAAAAACTTACATAGTTCATTGTTATTTAAGTTGCTTTGTTCATGACACTACAGTTTACCGAGTCTGAATTTACTGAAGGAGTATTTAACATGATACAAACCTGCTTTTATACTACTTTGGCTTCTTTGTTCCCTCAGTGTTTTCCTTGAAAGCAAAGCTGAGAAGTGTTGGGATCTTTTTAATTTGTTATTATAACATGAACATGAAAAAGTTGGTTGTTATCCTGAAAATAGAATAGAAATATGAAAACAATATCTTGCCTCTTTGGCCTTTCCAAAACTTGTCCTACAGTGAATGCTGTAGAAGCCTGCTCAAATTTGCTTTAGCAAGCTTACAGAAAAGGAATACAAATATATAAACATTTTTTAACCATTACCTAAATCTTTAGACACATTACCTTAAATGGAATCACATGCCTTATAATTAGAAAAAATCTTTTCTTATACATTATAGTACCATACCATAGATAGCTACAAATTATGCATTAATATTTCCCTATTTTTGAATCCTTAATTTGGTTTGAATTTCCTAAAGGGATCTATTTCCCTCAATTCTGTACCAATTACATTATACCTATTTGCTGTTCTTTGTACCCTTCTTTTCCCCAGAGGCTATTCTACACAAGTACAGAACAAGTATTTTGCATATTTTGCATTTCCTGTCACCCCCACCCCCAGTTTCTTGGTAAGTGTATCTCAGCCTTTAAACCAGATGTACTTGCTTTAGAAGAAATAACTGTATGAACTGCCTGACTAGAATCCTGTGATTTTACTAAGGAATACACTCATCTAACGCTAGCATTGCTGTCTTTTTTAGCAAAGGCTAGATGATTTGCATATTTATGAACTATTAGGCATCTTCTATACACTCCCCTCAGGAGGCTCAATAAAGACAAGAAATTATTTCTGCCTAGGTCACATTTATTAATTTTAGTCTCTGCATAAGATTTACAATTTACTGCAACGCAGGAAGGAGAAACGAAACCAGGGTTAAAGGGGAGCATAAATTGTTCGCTTTTGCTAGTTTATATCATCCTCTCTTACCACTCTTAGTGGTTCAGGAAATTTATTTTATCTCTCTGTAATCACCTTCTTGGGTGCAGTGGGTAAACAAGAAAATGCAGATAAAAGACAAACAAACATAAGGTCATGCCTTGTATACTACAACTAGTAAAAAATAAACTTGAAAGCTTGATTGAAGTTACTCATTAAAATACTGCTACTGCTGAAAGAGGTGGACGGGTAGCTCATTCAAGTGCAGCGTGAGAGATCCAGGGTCAGGTGGTGAATTAAACTTTCTCCATAGGCTTGTAGATTCAGACTTCTGCTTGTGGAAGGAGGAATCTTCTTTGACACATTCATTAGCGAAGACTAGGAAATGTTAACTTAAAGCACATTCAGAGAAAGAAATTTGCAATGTAAAGTTTATTTTCAAAAAAGTTCTGGCCAGTTTCTATTTACAAAAATCAAAGCCTAATCTGAAACTAAGGTAAAAGGATATAAATGTCACTTTCTGTGATGTTTACTGGGAAATTTTATTTAGTGGTTTGCAGGGTCACTGTAGTAATTCTGAATTTTGCATAACACAGAGGGGTGAGAGGAGTTTTTACCTTCAATCCCTCTCCTCACAAACACATTTTTCACATATTATAACTGATGCAAATTCCAACATAATGGCTGTTGTGGAACCTGCTCTTTTAAAACAAACAAGCAAATAAAGGCAAAAAGACTATGTTTGATCCAGACAGCTACGGAATGGACTCTTTCTTCTTAGATGTTTCTTCTCGAGGAGAATTTGTTCTTGATCCGCAGTTATGCTGAGATGGATAATTTGATTCACAGCCAGACAGAACTGGAGGCTTTTATTCCCCTTTTTTCCCCCTGAAATCCTGCATTAATTGTGTTGTTTTTCTCGGCAGAGACACTCCGCTGACATTTTAGAATTTGTTAATAGTTCAAAACTTTTTGGAAAAACAGCAGCCTTGCTGATAATAAGAAAATTGCTATTCCATAATGGAAATATCTGGACTTTTACTAAAGACTTGTTTCTCCACTTAATAGGAAGGTTTTTAACACATCTTAAAAATAAGCCCTTTTGAACAGTAATCAGAAGCAACTGTTCAGGTTACAAGTACTCTACTTCTACTATGAAAATAGCTACGTGCTGTCCTGGGTGACAATAGCCTTGCATCTATTGAATTTTACTCTGAAAACAGGTAAAAACCTCAGCTACCTCTGCAGCTGAATCTGTAGCCAGTTACTAAGGCAGTGTCATCTTTGCCATTCAAAATACCACTAAATATTGAAACTAGCATGTGATTTAATCTAGTTAAATTGGAATAGACTGTCCAAGAAAGTAAACTGGCAAATGGGCAACCAGTTGAACATGTTATATTTTAATTTGCAGAGACAAAAATGACAAGCAATTTATTTACATAAAACTGTACAAAAGCAAATTAAATTATGTAAATATTTCATAAATAGAGGTGGACTAGCGTTTAATACATTTTGCCATGTTTAGCATAGTTGCGTGCATAGTGACTCATAATAAACAATGATAAATTGTTCTCTGCTTCAATATCAACATCCAAGTTGCAGAACAATAGTCAATGATTATTATTACAAACAGATCGTACCACACTGAATGCAAGTGCTTTAAAATTTAGGAAAAATTGTCTGAAAGCATACCCCAGGTAGCTGGTGAATGTTGTCTTCTTCCTAGTGCTTATGCTCTTTCAGTCAGTAATACAACTTAACTGATGAGCTTTCATTTCTATTGCTTTTTCATCTGCTCCTTTTCTTCAGGAAATTCTAAATATTTATCACCAATGAAATAGAAGGAAAAATATTTCATTGTTCAACTTCCTTACCAGTGTTGGGTGATGGCTGGATTTATGGCAAGACCTTTATCCACATTCATTATTTTTCTGCTTGACAACTTCTAGGGTAGCCTTTCAGCCAATCATTTCAATCCCATTTAAGTTCTTCCCCCACATAAAAATAATGTTTAACTTTTTTTTTCCTGAAACTCAGGCAGCAGGCCAGTCAGAAACCATATTCAATAAACATAGTGGGTCTGAGATCTGGAATAAGCCTTAGATTTTAGACCAAAGCTATTGAACTTTCTAATACATATAAAGTTATATATTAACGCATCAATCTATAAAGGTGCCCTAATGTAAAATACATGCAAAGCCCATTTGAGTTTCCCACTGAAGGAAAGAAAAAGATGATTTCTATACTGTACAACTAAAATGTGATGAAGGCTAAAAGCTATTAAAAAAATTGTCAATTTTCCTGGCAACATGAACTGGTGACACCTTGCTAAATAACTATCATATAGACTGATCATACTTTTTCCAGGCAGCAGAATTAAAAACAAATTAAAACAACCCCAAACCCCACACAAATAGTAATTAAAAAATCCTCAAGACCTACTTAAATCACAGCCTTGTGTTAATAATGCTTAAGACTGGTCCATTAACTGAGTTTGGCAAAAGGCTTGTTTTTAAATATATTATTTATAATTTCTCAGAAAATAAACACAGGTAAATATACAGGTTCAAAAAAGTTGGGAATAGCCCCTTACCCCTCAATGTCCAAACCCAACTACCACTTTACCATAATAATAGGTATAAAAGGCACAGTTGCATATTTTGCATTCACCCTAATTATTTTTTATAGCTTTATTTGTTTATTTTTTATACAAAAGAACTCTATTTATGGAGTGGCACCAGATTTAACCTATTTCAAATAAAGAGGAAAAATACAAACACAAAATATATTTGTATGTCATGCCAGGTCAGAAGAGTAATCAGCATATTAATAGTGGCTAGTTCCACAAGAATTACTGTGAATACTTACAGTAGATAGAATTTTTAAAAAATTATTTCACACGCATTTTAGATCTAAGGAGATGCACACAAGAAAATTATTTCATGACTGTCTTATGTGGTGCAAAAATTGGTGAGTGACTGCTGATCCATTTAATCTGAAGGTCCACTATGACCTGTATTATTAGCCTTGTAGAAAAAGTGTCTAAGAGTATACGGAACCCAGCTACCTAATTTATTTTCTTGTGTGTAATATTAAATAAAATCTTATTAAAGGAAGTTCTGTTGAACATCTGTGTTATGCAATTGTGTATTCTGTTGAAACGTGCAAGAAAACTGTGTTTACATTACATAAGCATTTTAGAAGCATTTTTAAACAGGTACTTACAGATTATACAAAGCAGTAACTGCTATACGCAGTCTCATAACAAAGTACTAGCTTGCATCTCTCCATATTACTTAAATAATTAAACATAAAAATGTTCAATCATTATTAATCTTTGATTTTAATATTTTCTTTCTAAAATGTGCCCATTCATCATAACTGCTATACACGAACTAATGTTACTTGAAGAAAGTAAAATTTAGAGGAGAATGAAAAGGCCAGTAATGGCACAACCCACTAAATGGAGAAGTGAATTCAAAAGGGAAATGTGATGAGTTGTTTTGATTTACCAACCTCTACCTTAGGCTGTTTAAGGTTATTTTTATGCAATTCTTCAAAGCAAGAAACTACCCAAAGCTACATTATGACTACAGTTACTAGAGAACCATATAGCCATGCCTTCACGCCAGGTTCAACAGGCAGGGATCTGAATGCTTTCTCCATCCTTGAGCTGTCCTTGCTGCGTTTGTTTGATTGTCACTTTTGTCTGAATGTCTGAGCTCGGTCTGTGATTATTACTACAGCATCAACTACAAAGCAGTTGGTTGATGTTCTGCATGTTTTGTTGCTTTTATTGCACAAAACCCTGTTTAATTTCCTCTTCCTTTCAAGAAGCACTCACCATGAGAATTGTTACAGCTCTTGTATATCACAGTAGCTTGGACTCCTTTTAGCTCATCTTGACCTCCTAGGTATCACATCACTATTGATCAGACCATTTTTTACTAACGCTAAATGTTCTGAATCTTGATATCATTTAGTTTAGTATTGCACTTCTCTTGGTTTTAATGCACTTGGTTTCAACAAAGCTTTCATTATCATCATCTTTGACATAATTGATGCAGTTGGTAAGTTGCAACACTGATGGCCAGACTTAGCAACAGTGCCTTACAATCTGAAAAGAAGCTTTTGTACCCAAGTTGTAATGTTCTCTTGTTACTGCATTATTCCATTGTCCACCTTTTTCCCTCCATCAAGCATTCCCACAAACATAGCCTTCTCTTCTACTATTATATTTTAATTTTGATCTTAAAAATTCCCTGGAACTAGCATATGCAGCATATTGTATGCAGCATGTGCTGCAATATATCATGTCATTACAAAAAAAAAAAATAAAAAGCATCAGTTCCTTTGGGCATTCAACTGAACCACACTGGAAAAAAAAATTGTCATCTGGGCTTGTGAACTGTGCTGCTGCTTAGAATGTAACTGAAGCTGTATTATGAGTACATGTGTTTTTTTGTGAATACATTTATTTTCTAAGTCAAGCCCCAATACTTAGCAGTTCCCCTGATCCATTATGTGATCTTTGGCCTTTTTGTTATTACAATCTTCCCAGCTAAATGTTAGTCTTGCCCAAAATAATGATTTCAACAGTTTATCGTTGTTATCCTATGGCATAAGTGTTAGTAATTGTGTTTACATTGAAATAATCATTACAGAGAACAAGAGAGAAAGAGAGAAAGAGACACAGCAAGACATGTTTGTTCAATGGATAAAACAGAACCAGAGTTCATGAATCACAGGAAAGTATGCCATGTTTTTGACTGCAGTCTCAGGCTGAATGTATTTCTGTTGCTTCAGCCTCAGATGAGAGGTGAGAATATTAAAGCTGTGGTCTTCACAAAGTGCCTATTAATGATTATTCCTTTATATTTATCCTATATCTTTATGGTTTCTGAAGGATTGTCCCTGATGGGGATCAGCAATATTCAGATGGTATGTTTTGAATACATTTTCCCTGACCTGTTATCCTCAACAAGCCAGATGACAAACAAACAAAATAAGTGGCTTAGTTCATGCTTCTGCAGAGGGGAAACAACAGTGTGTTGTGTTCTTTTTAATCAAGCTCGCTACTATGGGAGGAATTTGCAACCATAGATCTAGGAAAATAAAAATCAGCGAGGGGGAATTAGACATGCAAGTAACAACAATGTTTTCTACATTGTACAGTATAGTCAGGCAGACAGTATAATTACATGCCTGCTATGGAGGCAGAAGTGGCAGGCAGATCTTTTGTCTCTTTGGTGGCCCCCTCTTTTTTGTTTCACATTTTTCTTAAAATTGTTGTGATTTTAAGACTTTTGCCCCATTTCTTTCTTATATTATGAAAGAACTTTGTTGCTGCTTTTTAGCCTACAGGTAAACTTCTCTTCTAGTTAGAGTATTGACAGGAGATGGCTTGTATTCCCCTGTCTGTGTAAGGGGGATATCCTCTGGATTGCCTTCTTCATTTTTGCTGAAACTAGCTGCACTGAAGGTCTCATAGGACGAGGTCAACTTTTTGTTAAGGAGGTTTCTGTTGCGATCACCCATGAGGGAGGCTTCTCCATTGGCCAGCTTTTCCTGACTGCCCCGTTCATCGACAGGCATGAAAGTGGAGAGTTTTGGCTGGCTCTTCTGCTTTCTCTCCGGAGAAGTGCGGACTGGCATCCAGCAGGAGTCTGAGTGGCCATATTCATCACATTCTCGGGTGCACTTCCCTGTTAGGGCTACATCTGGTAGAGGCCGTGAATCTGAAAATAAAAGAGAGTTATGTTTACAAATTAATATTACATTGACTTCCATTGAAACAGAGAATCCTTAAATTCACAAACGGTATTTTTAAAGGTCTTGGTAGGAATGTTGCGGTAAGTTCCTCAGTAATAATTTTTTCACATTGCACGTGCCCAGAGGCAACAAGCAGATCTGTACAGTTATTCTCAACCTCAATAACTGAAAAAAAAAAAAAAAGGCTATTAATCCTCTTCTTGTGCCTGTAAATCAATTCCAGAAGTATTTGGCGTTAGGCACTGAATTAATTTTGATGTCTGAAAGAGTCAAAGAAACACTTAATTCCATACTGCCAATTTTCTAGAAATTATTAAAAATACCTTTCCTTGAAGTTTTTTGTAGAGAATGCTCTGAATTTATGTGGGAGGATCCTGAAACCCTGCACCTTGCAAATACTTACAAACATACTTAATGCTCTGCAAATGAGCAGATCTGGTATTGACAAAAGGACTGAATTTTCACATAATGCAAACCTCTACTTGTATTCTGAGGATTGACAACTTGAATTGTTAGTCCACAATATGTTACATTAGTGGTACAATGAGTAATTACAGAAGCATACAAACCCTCTGCTGTGGGTTATAAACTTTATCAATAGTACAAATAAAGCTGTTCTGTGTGTATGTGTGTACGGTAGGGCATGGGATGAATCTGAGTGCTGCCTAAAGAGAATATTTCTAAAGAGAAATATTTTATATTGACTTGCTATGTTAGAAGGTGTCCTGTTCCTGTCCACTATGTCTAAATTTTCTGTACTTGCAAGAGCTTTCACTGAAAACCAGCAAAGTTCAGGGGCCTGCAGGATTGACTCCTACCTGTTTGCAATGCAGGTATATTCAATATTTGCATTTTGATACTTGCATACAACTGAATTTAAAAGCTACCTCAACTATTTTAAGGAACTGGTGAAATTCTTAAACCTTGCTTTTATTCAGTTATAGTGCACTTTATGGTCTAAAGGAAAAACTGAAACTGCCTGCAAAGTAACAACATGATATTCAAACAAATTTGACAAAGAACATAAATCAAAAAATAAATTTTTCAAGTTTGTTTGATATGACTCTCATATGATATGAGTAATTTAATGAAATATTCAGGTTTGTTTTATAAAAAATCAATTATTTTAGAAGGGAGCAGGGATCTTTAACATGGAAAGATGGTCAGGTACTTCATATGGGCTGTGGCAACTTTCTGCCTTCCCACTACAACACCAAAGTTCTTGTGAAGAGTAATTTTTGCCTGTAATAACATGTGCCTTATAGAAACTCTTTCAAAGGCCTTCAAAACAGTCTTCATTCCATTACTTTTTTTGCCTATTTTTCTTTGATTTTGGCTTACAGAGTACCTTCTCAAATGATGACAATTCTCCCTGTGAATTTTTTATAAGTTGATAAAAAGACCACTACTGAAGATAAAAACAAGCAAACAAACAAAACCCCACAACCAAAAATCCTTCGGTCTTCCAGAATAAACCACTTCAATTTAAAATATTTACAACAGGTGCTTGTAGAGAAAGCGTATTTCATTTCAACATCTGTGGACTTAATCCTGATAGAATTGTAAAAGCTCTTGAAAGTCAGATTTATCTTCATCCTGTCCTGATTTTTTCACTCATTTAAACATTAATTTAATAAATAACTCGTTGCAGTATTGTAAACAATGTGTACACTATTTGCTACTGACAAGTGTCATCATTTTATAGAATCTACAGTATGTATTCTGAATACTCTATAAAATTCCGTATTTCAATGAAATATTACTGACTTTAATGAGAAAACAACCCTGGTGTCTAGATTTTTATATTTTCCACACTGAAGAACACAATACCATGAAAACTTATCAGCCTATCAGTTTTCAGATGACTGTGTTCTGCAAACATACACAGAATATGGGAAAATCCTCTGTTTGTCAGCTAAATCAGCATTATTCTAACTCTCCCTAATGATAAGAAGCATAATTAACTGCTCATCTGCCCTGTTATGCTTTGATTTTTAAGCAGAATTTTTCATATTTTTACAATACAGCCAATTCCCTAAAATCTCCATAAACTATTCAAACCAGAACCTTATTTCCAAAAAATCCCGCCCATTAAATATTATGCTTGCTTCAAGTATTTCATTTATTACTCTGACATAATATTAGCAACTGCTGATCAAGGCAATGTATCTGACCTTTATTTAAAACATCAGAATATATGCTTATTGAAAATATTTTCTTTTTTTGTTGTTTGAATGTGGGTTTCTTTTTCCGATTGAAACAATTAGCATCTCATTATATCTGATGGACTCTTTTTAGCTCAAAAAAATGTCGAGTCGGCAATACATGGGTACATAAAAATCCTTCCCTTTCTGGTGGTCTTTGAATCATGCATTTGAAAAAATGTACCATTTTGCATTGTATTTCTTCTCCTATTCACTTCTGGACAAATACTGGAATTCCTTATTGTAAAGCATGAGGAATTAATGCATGATTCAGCCTTATAATGCTGTTTTAAGAAGCAAAACCCTCCAAGTCAGTTTTTTGCTGAGTTGCCCTGTTGGGTTATGTGATAAGCTTTATCTTCACACCCACAGAAGAGCTCAGAGGACACTGGAAGAACAATATTAGCCCAAATAATACCCTGACAGACCCACCCAGGCCCACCATAGGGCAATCAGACACTCAAAGGTCCATTTGTCCAGGCCCAGAGGAACACAGAGGTGCAGAGTAGCAGACAGGAACTCATTAAGGACTCGGGAGGAAAAGTCATCTTTCTGTGTAACACTGGGGATTGCTGTCTAGGTATGCAGAGCACATTATAAGATAAGAGGAAAAGGAATATAGGATAGCAAAGGACTTAGATGATGTTTAGGGGTGAAACCATTGGGAAGACAAGTGAGGAGTTTAGGTGATAGTGGAGAAATAGGGATATAAGGGGATAAAAGGGCCAGTCACATGGAAATAGTTTGCTGGGTAATAAGTTTGTCTGGATATTTTCTGTGCTGGATGAACACCATCTGTCCTGTCCTCTTATTAAATTCCTTTCTAACGCATTCCTGGGAATGGTCACTCTATTATGAGTGCAGGTATAGATATGGGTGTGTCCACTATCACCAGTGCTCTGTCATCCTGTCCAGCCAGAGAAGAGGACAGAATGAGGCCCCTGATGCTGTCTGTGTTCATGGAAGGGCTTTGAGTGTATGTGTGTGCTCTGAACACCTTCAGTTGAGATTTGACACTTACAGTTAATATAGCCTTCTCCTCCACTGCTTTCTTGCATCTATTCCTAGAGCTTGAATCAGTACAGCATTTGATTACAGGTTTAATCAAACATGGTTTAAAACCTGTTGCATTTGACTTGCTCTCCTGTTTAAAAGATTGTCATGCCTAAACTAGTCGGTTAAGGGAAAATGGGGTTCTTACTGTACAGTTCACTTGATAAAAGTGATTTAACCTCTAATTTAGATAAACTGCCATGCCACTTCACCTACAGAATAAGTAACTGCATTTTTGCTAATTCACTGAAACAGATCAACCCACTTTTGCAGAGTAGGGACTCTATACTTAGCATTTTAAATTACCTAGCCCATGGAATTTTGAACAATCTCTAAATTTGAAAATAAACTTACTCATGTCCTCCAGTAGAATTTGCATCGAAGCATATCTATTTCTAAGTGAAATGCTTTTTTAAGTGCTTCTCAGTTAAAAAAGTTAAATAATCTAGTAGTGACCCACTGAGAGCTGACAAGTCCAGTGGAATATGACACAGCAATTTGTCAGCAGAATTGGCAAGTCATCAAGTAGCAGCACAACAGATCCCTTCTGCAGTTACATATCTGGAAACCAAGTTAAATTTGTGCTTAAAAGGCCACTTATTAACCAAAAAAAGTCATCACATTGTTAATTAGTGAGAAAGATATGTGGTATTTCTTGTTATACAGAAATCTGTAGATTTGGGATTAGGTTTTAAGAGTTTAGATAGACTAGTCAAATTCAGCCTTTTGTCTGCAGAAAAAGATCATCAGAAGGTATCCTCTTATTTTCAAGCATATCTTCTCATGGTGTCTCTAGATCACAACTAGGTATTGCTTCACACAACCATTGTAAACCCACGGCCTAAAATGAAGATATTTGGAAAATTTTTAAGTATACATGTAAACGGAGACTTCAAAAATTAATACTTTTAAAACAGATTTCACTCACCAGACTTCAGCTTGGGAAAAAATTGAAAATAATTAATTTAAAAGGCCTCAAAATCTATTTTGTCGTTGTATCTGATAGAAGCTTCCACCACAAAATTTTAAAAGTTACATGATAAAACTTAGAAATTGGCAGCAAATGTATAAGGATTTGCTGGATGAAGAGTTACTAAAGTTTAAAAAAAACCTGAGACAGTTATATGCTTTATGTTTTCCATAAATCTTCATACAAAAGAATGTAAATGTTTGGATATATTTATATGTATGCTAATGTTTCTACTGATTGTAGCTGTCTGTTTCCTTAGGGCCAGTAAGGCTGCTTATTATCAAAAAAGGAAGGTGCCTACCACTGCAGGTTGGACAGGGGAAAGATGATGTTCTAGCTCCAGTTTAATGCCAAAGAAACTAACTCAAATATTACAACCAAGCAATTTTCCACTATTTTCTCTCCTCCCATTTCTAATCAAAGAGGTTAATATATTTCATCAAGGACATAAACAGTATTACAAACTCAGAAGCCAACAAGTACACCAGGGGATTGGAACTAGATGATTTTTAAGGTCCCTTCCAACCCTATCCATTCTATGACTCTACATATTACAAGTTAAGTGGTTTTATTTCATACACACATTGCAGAAATCTAGTCAAGAATGCTCACTCTGGCTCCACGCTACACAATTTTTAACAACCATTCTTGTACGATATATTTTATAGACCCACATTTAGTCATGACATGGTTCTAGCACAGACACTGGAGAAAATGTAAAAAGATTTCATTTTTTTTT